TTCTAGAGCAAGAGTGTCATTCTTCTTGAACAAAATTCCTTTCCCTGGATTGCCATTCAAGTAATGTAGTACCCTGTAAGTAGCTTGAAGATGAGGTTCTTTTGGATCGTGCATGAATTGACTAATCACGCTCACTGAGTATGCTATGTCAGGCAGAGTGTGGGTAAGGTATATGAGTTTTCCGACCAACCTTTGGAACATTCTTTTATCAACAGTTGGTTCTTCTTTAGCTTCTCCCAACTTATGGTTTGGATCTATTAGTGTAAAAACTAGTTTACACCCAATCTTCCATGTTTCTGTCAATAAATCAATCACGTACTTTTGCTGAGATATGAAAATTCCCTGTGTAGAATATACCACCTCAATACCGAGGAAATACTTCAGTTTTCCTAGTTCCTTTATTTTAAATTCTTTTGCTTGTCTCTGTTTTAGTTCTTGCTTCTCTCTCATCATTTACAGTCACTATGATGTCGTCCACATAGACTAGAAATGTAGTTTATCCCCCTACAGCCGAATGTTTAATGAAGAGAGTGTAGTCACCTTGGATTTGTTTATATCTTGACTCCTTTATGACTTTTTCACCTTGCATACCTTGTTACCTATGTCCCCCTCAAATTCTGGTAGAATATTCAATGTATATTTATTCATCTAAATCACCATGGAGAAATGCATTCTTAACATCATATTGTATGAGTTGCTACCTGAAGTGGGTAGCCAATGACAATAAAATCCTCATTGTATTCATTTTTGCAACTGGAGCAAAAATCTCCCGATAATCTACCCCATAAATCTAAGTGAAGAACTTGAGAATAAGAAATAACTCCTCTTTCTTCTCACATTTTTTATTCATCGATAATCAGCAACATTTTATAGGCAAAGAAATGAAGAAAAAGACAAAAAACTAACAAACTTCCCTAGTGGAAAGAAAAAACAGCACAACCTGGCAGTAACCATTTTGTTATATTGTCAGGTTGTAAAAGACAGAAAAATAATTCTACATTCCCCCTCAATCTAAGTTACATAAATGTTTAGTAAGCCTAAATTAGATATTAATTCGTTGAAAAATCCTTTGAAAAGTGAATTTGTTAAAATATCTGCAGTTTGCTGATTAGTAGGAACGTGGAGTATTGTAATGGTCTGATCTTCAATTTTCTCCCTGATGAAGTGCCTATCTATTTCCACGTGTTTAGTTCGATCATGATATACCAGATTTTTAATTATGTTGATTGTTGCTTTATTGTCGCACCATACTTTCATTGGAGTAGTAACCAAGAATTTCATTTCCATTAGAACTCTTTTTAACCAAATTCTTTCACATATTCCATGAGGAAGTGATCGAAATTCAGCTTCTGCGCTATTTCGTGACACAACATATTGTTTTTTACTCCGCCAAGTGAGTAAGTTTCCTCAAACGTAAGTACAGTGCCCAGAGGTAGATCTTTTGTTAGTTATAGAACCTACCCAATCAGCATCTGTGTAGATTTCAATATTTCTATTCATTATTTTTTGGAAAAATAGTCCTTGTTCTGAAGTTTTCTTAAGGTATTTTAAGATCCGATATACCATATTCATATGAATATCAAGAAGTTAGTTCATGAATTGACTTGCAGTACTTACAGCAAAACTGATGTCAGGTCTAATATGAGCAAGATATATAAGTTTGCCCACAAGTCTTTGATATCTTTCTTTATCAAGTAGCTTGCCCTTTTTAAATCCAACTTTTGTAGTCGTTTCCATGGGAGTTTCTGCTGGTTTACACCCGAGCATCCCTATTTCTTTTAGCAGGTCAAGAACATATTTCTTTTGTGACACAGATATGCCCTTTTTAGAACGAGAAAATTCCATTTCCAGAAAATACCTAAGTGCTCCAAGATCTTTTATAAACTCCGTGGCAAGAAAACTTGTGAGTTTTTGAATTTCCTTTATGTTATCACCTGTTAAAATAATATCATCAACATATACAATTAGGATAGCTTTCTTACCAGAGGCACTATTCTTGACAAACAAAGTATGATCAGAGTGATATTGCTCATAACCCATATGTTTAACTGCTTTGGTAAATCTGTCAAACCAAGCTCTCGGAGATTGTTTTAGACCATAGAGTGCCTTTTTGAGTTTACATACCTTGTGAGTTTCATATGTGGTCTCAAGGCCTGTAGGAACTTCCATATATACCTCTTCTT